CAAAAATAAATAATTGTTTAGAAAAGTGAAGAGTGAAATATAACAAACATGGTCCTATCAAAATGTATCATTCACATTTTCTTAATGATGAAAGTTTACCGAAAAAAAATTAAAAGATACTCTATTCGTAGTAATCCTATAATATTTCCGATAATCTTCGTATTCTTTTGAAAAGTTACAGATTGTTTTGTAAATGATCATCACTTTTTTCAAACGATGTATTTTGCCCGTATTGAATATGTTGCTACTATACTTAATGTCGATAATCTAATTTTTAACTTGGAATATATAATATATTCGAATGTTTTAAATACAATAATAATAACAATAATATTGAGAAAAGGTATAGTTTATATTGAATAAAAAAGAAAAAAGAGATAGATCTTTTTGTGTGATCATTATTCAATCGGATCGTGTTTATGCTTGTGCCTACGTGTACGTTGCGTAGAACACTTTGAAATAAATGAAACAGGAATTAATTTTGTTTTCTCTTTCTCTTTGTTAGAAAAAAATCTTGTTTCTTTCACGGTTTTCTATTACTTACGTTAGAAATAATTTTTATTTACTAATATAATGAAGAATATAATGAAATAAGATAAGTAAACTTTGTCACCAAATCGAATCATATTTTTGTAACTATTCGAAATATCGAGAATAGAAGGAAATTCGAACCTAATTACAATAACAAAATGTTTTTGTAATAGATCTAGCGAAACTAAATAGAAATTTTATTCGACTTTAAACGAAAATATGAATATACATTTCAAATTTTTTCTACAAACATAGACATCTCATCACAGTTATGAAAATGAAAATCTAATGTCAGATTTAACTCTAGAATTAAAATGAATATAAATCGTTTAAAAAATTTCTAGAAGATCTTTTATGCAACGAATGAAATAGAATAAAAATTTGAAAAAGAAAATCGTAGTATTCATCATTTTTGAAATTTTCCTTCAAAACTTTTCTGTAAGAATAATGATTGAAATGGATAAAATTTCTGAAAATTGAATTATATTTATTTACTTGAATTTGAATTGATTGATTTCAACTCGTCTTGTTTTAATTCATATTTATTTGTCTTCTAAATAATCTAAACTCATTCTAGCTTCAATCTGAAGCTACGGATCTTATTCTAATTTTACAAATGATTACTTCATATGCGTATATTGAAAATTTTTCAAGATTAACCTACTTAATTCTTCTGAAATAAACTCATCCGTACAATTTATTTAGTTCTAAGAATATAGAAGAAAAGAATCGGAAAACGTAACCTAATCAACATACGTCAAGCTAGCAGCTCATTGAAGCCTATTTAGAGTTAATTTACACTTTCTCAACTACTGTTAAAAAACTTGAAATGTAAGATTATAGAGATAAGTAGACGATTCATATTTTAGTAATGTAGTTATGTAATAGACTATTTAAAATTGTGATACAATTTTGATTACAACTAGTGAATTTTCGAAACAATTCATAATTGACAACTGATTTGTTTTTTCTGAACTTTATGAAAAAGTAATAACTATATTGTTTTTGACTAAAAAAATGTCTGACTGAGAGTTTTCCAAAAGAATGTGCTTATAGTATAATGATCTTCGATACTTTTCTATGACACTAAATAAGTTCAAACAGTTAAATGTTGTTGTACAAAATATACTATATCTATTGAATGTGCACCAAGACATCATACAATCTTGAATTTGTTTTCGATAACGTTTTAAATTAGTGCAATTGCAGAAGGAACGAATATCAACAGGATTGATAAACACTTACTTTATTACGAACAGAACCCACATCCACATCCACACCCTCTATCTCACTAATCAATTCCAGTCATTTCTATTGTTTCGTTAGCATTTAATGAAATTGAGTGCACATCTTAAATTATTATTGTTTATCCATCTTCATAGTGTTTTAGTTGTCTAATCCTTTCATAAACATTTTGGATATGTTCTAACTAACACCTCGTATCAACTTTTACAAAATAAACTCTGTCTTAATGAACAGTTTTGACTTGTATATTTTCCTCTTCTTTTGGCGCGACAATAATAGAATAAATTAATCAAAACATGTCATAAAAATGTTCACAAAATAGATATTATTCGTTAAACTTTTTATGTATACTGAGAGAAATAAATGATTTTATGCTCTATAGAGCTTTAAAGGAAATTCTTCAAAGAAAATAAGAACAATGTAACTTGATCTACTAAGAGATAGAAATGTTGAAAATATAGACAGAGCTATTTTTTACGACATTCGTTATGTTATTCACGTCCCAAGTCTGTTATTTGCTGCTATACAAACTAGATTTCACTTGGAATCATTCAATCAATAAATGAAATTTAAAAAATCAGCAGTGGGCAACAAATCGATCGGTGAGACAAATGCTCATTTCCAGCGGAAAAATGCCCTCCACGTCAAAAAATGAATTTTTTTCCATTCTGTTCATATAGGACGACCGTCATATACATATATGCGTATGCATCCATATTTCATTCCTATCTCATTCTTCCGTGAATACCATTCAGAAAGCTGTTAGCGCAATCCCTTGCGGGATTAAAAATGTGAAACACGATGGATCTGCTGTTACTAATTAAATGGAAATCGTTTTGTTCTATTTCTTTGCAATACATTTGTAGCTAACCGTTTATCTGATGCTTTAGAAGTACAGTTTCGCTGTCACGGTCTGTGATGGGTCCAGACCCTGTCTGCCACGGTCTGTGATGGGCACAGAGCTCTGTCTATCACGGTCTGTGATGGGTCTAAAGCATGTCTGTCACGGTCTGTGATGGGTCCAAAGCCTGTCTGTCACGGTCTGTGATGGGTCTAAAGCCTGTCTGTCACGGTCTGTGATGGGTCCAGAGCCTGTCTGTCACGGTCTGTGATGAGTTCAAAGCCTGTCTGTCACGGTCTGTGATGGGTCCAGAGCCTGTCTGTCACGGTCTGTGATGGGTCTAAAGCATGTCTGTCACGGTCTGTGATGGGTCCAAAGCCTGTCTGTCA